GTAGTAAGTGGGCTAGTAAGTCTCGCGATAACAGTTATAAATGACCCTCTCGAAGCGCGGCGCCGCGCCGCGGCAACCAACCCCCAGCCAGTCGAGCGCCAGACACTCCTGGCTCCTTCGCGACCTAACACATCGCCCCGCGCCAATATAGCCGTAAAAGGTACTAAACAAACATACACTAAGTGGCCGACGCGTGTGCGCCGCGTAACCACCCTCTGTTTACGTATCGTTGATCGATAATCGTACGCAGTGGCACCGCGTGGATCGATCGCTCCGCGGAAACTGTTACAATACCGACACCACTTTTCGGACGGGATATATCTCCATTCCAAGGGTGCCCTCGAATACAAACTGTTCCGTGTGCCTTTCACCGCACACCATCTGCACACCACCCCCCTTCACCGTTACTCGTTTGACATAATTACGACGCTACATGAACGCGTTACATTGACCTAACGCGCGGACGTCCTGACCTGTTCATTGGGAGAAACACCTTTGAAACGCTGTTTATTGATGGCGCAAGGGGATCATTCTGAAGCGAAACTGAATGTGTCTGGAATATAGTTTTTGAACGTTTATTGGGTGCTTGTGTATTCTTGTTTCAAATAAGTGGAAATTATATTAGGAACGGATTGAGTTAGTTGAGTTCCGAATGATAGCTAAAGTTCTTGGTATGTTTAATCAGTTTAGGTAAAATCACTATGATAATAAGTTTGAATATAATTCAAATCGAAAGTGGGAAAAATCAATAATTTTCTTCGAATGTCTGAAAGTTATACAAAATCGTCTTCCATTTCTCTCTTTTGAAATATAGATTTGAATGGAAAGTATTCTTGAATAGACAATAACTACCCTCCATATTGAATAAGATCGTCGCAATGCTAGTATAACGAGCTCCACTATCAACTTTTCAATAATAACCAAAAAATCTTTGCCATAATTCGTATGATTTATCTTCTGCGTTCAACAATATCTTTAATATAAATTTCAGGGGTAATTATAAGGTTGCAAGTCTACAATGTTGTAGGAAAGTACTACAGAGTGCGCCAGCTGATAAGAATGAACATCTGGATGTCGGTACAGTGTCATATGCACCCTGTAAAAAACTGCTTCACACTAATCGATAATAGCACTCTCATCGTGTCATAAAAGAAAAAACATTAAAATATTATATTTAATTCGCTATAAAGATACTTTAAATTCATTTTTGTCGATTCAAATCCCTCCAGGATATTAATTTACAGGCATCGTGAGTCCATGGAAACAGAGGGCGTGCATCATTTATCGGAATAACGGAATAATTTGAAAATTTAACTGCCCGCTCAAGACGGACGCATGCGTTTACGGCTTAATGATAAAGGGAACACCATGAAACGTGAACCGCAGTGTGCACGATGGCGCTAACTTCGGATATCGATTTTGGTCCAGTGGGATGCAGAACGCTCGTATTTCACTAATCGCGTTTTTCCGCTGTTCTCCGTCAAAGAACAAATTTTTTCGCTTTGAAAACCCTTCCGATGTAATAATGTCAAGTCGCGGAACTGTGGTGTGTGGCGTCAGTAGGTGAACACGCGTAAATTCTCTGTTGGGAGTGGTCGCAACCATCTCGCCCCTACGCAGATTTGTAAATAGTCGGGCTTAAAATGCGAATATCTGTGCTCGGTGTATTTTTAAATTACATCAGCATCGTATATGGTAAGTTTATTATTGTATGATATTGTAAATGTATTATTTTTATCATTCGGTCGTTCAACTTTGATTTGATTTTATAGGTAACACTTGCAGGGTGTGTTGTTCCACTGACACGGATCTTTTGTTGTTCTTTGAAATGTCGCATTTGACAATTCTTTTAAGAAACTTGGGTTTTTTTATTGTAGGGGCAGCGGGCACAAAAACTTACGAAGCAAACCCTGATACGAAGAGGCTTTACGATGACTTGCTATCCAATTATAACAGACTCATCCGCCCTGTTATCAATAACACCGAAACGTTGACGGTTTATCTCGGCCTAAAATTATCGCAATTAATTGAAATGGTGAAGACACATTTGTTTTATTCTTTCTTTGTCTAAATTATGACAAATTCATTGCGGTTAATATTATTTTAATTTATAGAACTTGAAAAATCAAGTGATGACCACGAACGTCTGGGTGGAACAGGTATAATCTACTTAACGGAACTATTCATTAAATATTCGTACAATTTTCGTTTGTAATATAATTTATAGATAAAATGTTAATGTATATTTATTTAACAGAAATGGGTCGATTATAAATTACGATGGGATCCAGAGGAATACGGTGGCGTGGAAATGCTTTACGTGCCTTCCGAAAACATTTGGCTCCCAGACATCGTGTTATACAACAAGTAAATAGCGGTGAAATATTCTATCAAAGCATTGTAAATATTCTAATTTTATAAAGTTTGTATATAACAAACTAGACTAATTTAGAATTATAAACATTTATGTAAAGTTATATTTTTAAAAACTTCGTTAAACAAGACAGAGTTAGATGTTAATTGTTTCCTTTATTTAAGAATTGTCATAGATCAAAAGTTAAAATAAAAGTTACATTATGCTGAAATTTTGATTTTAACAATTGAATTATTTCACAGCGCCGACGGCAATTACGAAGTAACGCTCATGACAAAAGCAACCTTGAAGTACAATGGCGAAGTATTTTGGAAACCTCCAGCAATCTACAAATCATCCTGCGAGATTAACGTCGAATACTTCCCGTTCGACGAGCAATCGTGCATTATGAAATTCGGTTCTTGGACATACAACGGCGCACAGGTTAAAACTCCAACAATTTTATTTCAACGATTAACGATTCTCATAAATAAATGTATCCAAAACAATTCGTTTTAAGAGTACAAGTAATTAACATTAATACTGTATTCCGAAAAAGATGCTTTGTAAAGACATTTGCCAACAGGTAGATCTGAAACACATGAAACAAGAACCTGGCAGCAACTTGGTGGAGAGAGGGATCGATCTGAGCGACTTCTACTTGTCAGTAGAATGGGACATTCTTGAAGTTCCAGCGTCCAGAAACGAGGAATATTATCCATGCTGCACGGAACCGTATTCTGGTGAGGCGGTCTTCGGTTGATGGACCACCGGATTAGAATATAAGTTACAGACTTTTTAATTTGAATAGATGATCGGACATTTTAGTGTCAACCTAAAGTATCCTTTAAAGTCCTTCCAAATGTTCCGTATTTTTTTTAGATAGAACTACATACTTTTTCTTAGATCCAAACTTAAAGACGCGTAATTACATAACAATATAAATGTTCTTTTATACGCTACACAGATATCACATTCAACATCACAATGCGCAGAAAGACATTATTCTACACGGTCAACTTGATAATTCCCTGCGTAGGCATCACGTTCCTCACTGTGCTTGTTTTCTATCTACCAAGCGACTCAGGCGAGAAAGTGAGTGAATATTTTCGGAAATAACAGTAAGCAAATTTTTTTATACATTCTCATTAAATATTTATTCTTCACAGGTATCGCTGTGTTCTTCGATTCTCCTCTCGCTCACGGTGTTCTTTTTACTACTAGCCGAAATTATACCACCGACATCGTTGGCCATACCACTTCTAGGAAAATACTTGTTGTTCACTATGATTTTGGTCACTCTGTCAATATCAATCACTGTATGCGTTTTAAACGTTCATTTTCGGTAACTAAGATTTCCAATAGTATCAGTTTGCATTTTGAAACTAACGAATTCTAAGAGTCGATTATCTCATAGTTCTCAAATCCTTAGCTAAGGATTGGCATAAGCTGGCTGACTAAATATGTCTGTTTCTACTGCCAAAACGTCTCTAAATCATCTTGTTTTAATTTGGACATTTCATCAAGCAATTTTTGGTCCCACAAGCTTCCAAGCTTTAACTGCTTTAGATTTAGAATTAATTACAACGCTTTGACTTACTTTTCACATCATTCAACCAAGCCTTTTTGAATTAAGTCCTACGCAAAATTACGATATTTCTTCTTTTAATAGATCCCCATCCACGCACAGTATGTCATCATGGGTCAGACAAGTATTTTTAAATTGGATGCCACGGATCCTGATGATGCGTCGAACGCCGTATTCGACTCCAGAGTACGATGACACATATATGGACAGCGGGTACACTAACGAAATCGATTTTAGGTAAGCATTTTAGCTGCCGATTCGCTAGGGAACTAATCTTCAAGATCCAAAATTTGTAATTTTCATGGTAGTGTCAGCGACTACCCGCTGGAATTAAAAGGAAGTCCGGACGGATTCGAAAGTGTCACCTCTCAATACAAAAATATAAGAGAAGACGACGCCCGGCATTTCCCGCACGCATCAGGTAAAGTCTCCGTTATTCTGTGTAAAAACGTTTATTTACCAACTTGATCAAACCACGACACTGCTCGTGGTTCATAAGAGCTGTTACAAATAATTCTATAAATTCAAAGTATCTTGTTTCTCAGAGGTACAGCGCGTGTTCAGGTGACAACAATGAACATAAATAAATGCTTATGATAGTTAACGCTATTCTCGTAGCTCACAAATCATATAACGTGGCACGGGTACACCATTAAACAATGTCATGCGATGCTATAGGTAAAATTAATGCGATAATAATGAAATGTAATTACAGTTACTGATAGTGAAAATACAATGCCAAGACACTTGTCTCCGGACGTCATATCAGCCCTGAAGGGTGTGCGTTTTATTGCTCAACACATTAAAGATGCAGACAAAGATAACGAAGTGAGTGATATCATTACATAATTTTGTCCTGCATTCAGTTGTTTTACTTTTGATACTCGTTCGCTAACGAGAAACTTAATATCAACAAATAAGCATTTATAAATCTCTAATAACTAAGTCCATAACTTTTACATTGAAATTATTGTAAAATCTCTTTTTTTACATTTCCAGGTTATAGAAGATTGGAAATTCGTGGCCATGGTATTGGACAGACTATTTCTTTGGGTTTTTACACTAGCATGTATCGGAGGAACGCTTGGTATAATATTCCAAGCACCTAGTTTATATGATACAAGAGAACCTGTGGACCAACAACTCTCTGGAATATCTTTTCGCAATTATATGTATCCAAACATAGACTATATCTTACCAGAAGAGTAAACAACTAAAACCCATCGAACTCCAGATTAACATATACGAAACAACGATGCAAATTTGTTACAACGTTAACATGATATTTGTATCGACTTTTCCTATTTTATTCCTTAATACGATGTTGCTTTTATAAGAAATGAAAAATCTGTAATAAATGTAGACTAAGCAATTTTATTAACCCTGATCAACTAAAAGAACGCAATAAAGGTTCAACATTTCGGAGAAAAAGGGATATTTAAATTTAATCACATGAAATAACACCTCATATCTAATGTCAAGGTTAATAAAATGCTTAAGCTATAAAGTAAAAAATTATTTTATTCTCTTGATTCATACCACATAATGATCTTCCTACAATAGTGGGAAAATGTATTAAAATATCTACTCTTTAAGCATCTCCATTAATGTCTAAAGTTTGTCATTTTACTTTTTTAAGAACACAATAGTGCAATGGAATGCTTACTTGATGCAATTGAAAAAATTAACACATTCTCTTGTTCATTTTTTGCCTAATTTTTTGATAGTACCAAAAGTAAAAACACCATGAATACACTTATATTAATCCTTATTATAATGCTTTACTTCAATAGTCACAGAACTAATGAACTTTTGGTTTCTTGTTGTTCTGTATACGACTCGTATAATTATTAAAAGTTTGGCAATATTATTAATAGAGGTAAATATAAAAAAAATTCTTTATTCTAAGTCAATTATCATCAATTCTGGCGAATCACTAGTACTGCTAATAGAGCTGGTTTGTGATTTTTTTGGCGAGGATGTACCACTAGCTAGTTTCTTTGTACTCTGAGTGGGTGTAGAATTTTCGTCGTCGTCATCACTGTCTGATATTAAATCAATAACAACTGCACGTTTCTTTTCCTTTGGAGGTGCGGGATTGCTTTCATCTAAACAATTACATAACAGTATTTTACACAAAAATAAAAAATAAAGCGTCGTGTATTATATAGAACAAACAAAGCCTTTAATAGAAACTTGCTACAAGCATATTTATATGTATATGTATGCGTGATGAAATAAGATATCTCACCAAGATCTACTGTATCCACATCGATCTTACGGTCTTGCAAATTCGTAACCACTTTCGTTTCACTCTTATCTTTATCTTTTTCTTTCTTCAGTACTAAGTTCTCCCACGAGCCGTCTTGCAACAACTGAATTTCGTTTACATCCGGCAGTAATTTCTTGGAATTTAGAACTTCTTGAAAATATCCATCGATTACAAGATTATCATACAACGCCGGTTTATCACAAACCGGACAAGTCCATGTAGGCTTCCTTTCATTCATTTGTAGAAATAATGATGCATCAAAACATTGTAAGTGTGAACACGTTGAAGCACGACACGGTGTACACATTCGCATCTTTCCTAGTGGACATGCTAATGATACTCTCAGTGATGTTGTTGCTATTTCGCTGTCTGCATCCTCATTAAGTTTTTCTTTAACTACAGAAGAAAACAATCTCGTAACAGTCGTTTTCAACAGTTGACAAGTTTCTGAAGATGAGCCGCGATTACTTACTTAAACCTCTTGTGTAATCCGAGTGTCGCACACCTCTACTTTTTAACCGTGATAATAACTCTGCACTTGAAAGTTTCCTAACTAGGTATATCGCAATTGCGTATCGTCTTCCGTAGTCAGCCGACCATGTTACATGAATTTGATTTGCTACAGTAGGAGATAACTTAACTAAAGCACTAATTTGGACAGGCCGTGGCGGCCTCTTTGGTTCTACTCCTGGTTTGTTTGTGGGTATTGGATTCTGCAAGATATAAAAGAGTATAATTGACTATTGTATGTTATATTATGTTTTACATAACTATTTCAAGGTCATTATCTATTTACTCACAGGTAAAGGACACAATTTCCCATTTACTTTCACTGCAATACTAGGTGGAAAGCAATCTTCTTGTTCACATGACGTTTCTTGTAAACAGAATCGCATTTGTACCTGCAAAGAATAAATTTTGAAACAGTCACAAAAATTACAAAGTAATGCTTTCATATTATTTAGAAGTAATGTAACTAACAGTACCTGTACGCTATAATCCATTTTACTTCCTGCACGACAATCTCGTGAACTGGCTATATCTGTCGATTGCTGTGGAGTTAAGTGGAACATGAATGTGTTCTCCTGAAGTCTCATAGATCCTTGAGGCATCAAACTAGACGGTTTCAGTAATTCAGCTAACAGGTCATAAAAGGGAAGTTTTTTAAGTTTAACATCTGGATGAACAGGATACTGACTTCTAGGCTGTATTTGTAATGGAGATGGTAAAACTTTTGGGGGATATGGATATGGATTATATGCAGCACTTGTTGTTTGCTGAAATATTAAATATTATGTAACTTAATTAATATGAGTTTCTAATTTATCATTCTGTTCTTCAACTAACTTGTGGTGTTACACTAGTATATCCTGTGGTTTGATAAACTGGATTGGTTCTGGGTGCTGGTAGTGATGCTTGATGTGCTGGTGCTGGTGGAAGTTCTTTTCCACTAGGAACCGAGGATTGTGACTGTTGCTGTTGACTGATAGCTTGCCTTTGTGTTAATTACAAAATGACAATACTATTAAATATAATTATTAATTTCATTATGTGGTTGGGGGTAAAATAGATTTACCTTGTATAATAATTTCTGGAATGCATGTTCTGATCAATTTGTGGTTCCCCAGAACCACCTGTTTGACCGTACATTTGATGTGTAGCCAATTGATCAGCTCTAAACAAAACGTTGAAACAAACAACTAATTATGACACTTTATATTAAGTATCCTTGATACTTATAATACTTAAAGTATAATAGTATGCCATAGTACATATAAAAGAACAAATATAGTTCAAATGAAATATTTAAATATTCATTAAATAACAATAATAATTCATAGAAAGTAACAAAATTTTGAATGTATACTTTTATTCACATTGATATTATACTCACTGTATGGTTTTATATAGTTCACGTATTTTGAGTTGTACAGGATGGGATCTCAAACGTAACAATTCTAGTGCACGTGTTTGTAACTCTGTTTTTCTACCGGATTTATTTCTACCAGCAAAACCAAGAAGCATCTGAAGTTCAGATACTCGAAAACTCAATACCATATTCTGTAATCACAAAATTAAAATATTTATGTATTCAAATACTGTACATACTATTTTCCTAAAATTTTTACCTCAATACAAAAAAATAATTGAATCTTCAACAGAAGAACTAATGTTCTAAATAAATTGCTAGTTTTACATAAACAACTGATAAATATTGTTTGTTTACATTGCATCAAAGTATATAAATATAAAATCAAATTTAAAATACCAGGCATAAAAATCATACTTCAAGTTTTCTATTCTACAAAAATCAATATTAAATTTCTTTCACCAATACCCACATTATATTAGGACAAATGTAAAAAATATTAAAATACATTTTATTTTTACAATTAAAATCAATATTTTGTTTTGTACAATACACGTATAGTCAAACAGTTAAGATTTAAATGATATTTTATTTACAAAATGGAGTCGAAATAATGATAAAAACATTTCAAAATGTTTTAAATGAAACGAGGTAAAAGTTAAGGTTACCTATGTTCACGAAGATATTGTTTGTCTTTCGAAGCATTATGTGGCAGATAGAACATGATTACCAATACAATATAACGAAAGAAAACGATTTTGCTAATTAACTGTAATATTTCACTGACAAAAGAAAACAATCATTACACCAACAGTGTATACCTGTACGGCAGTGTATTAACGTCTGTTTATACAATTCACTGACGCGAATCATAAATCGCTGATAACCCGGATATAACCACGACAAATTCACAACGCAGTCCTGCCGACTTTTCTCTAAAATTTCACACGGAATCTACCTGCACTGCACCACTTTTAATACTTCACTCACCTCTAATTCTTTGGTCTCCGCCATCTTCTTAGACGATTTTTTTTGCGAAGCCGTTTTGCCTATATTATTTCCAACTTTCAACAGAAAAAATCTCCTACCCGTTTCTTATGCGAGTTGTTTGTGTCACAACTCGTCTCTATATTTTTCTTGCTTTTAAACGAAACTATTAAATAATACTGTTTAATGGCGCGAGATTGATTTTTGTATTTTAATTTTGGAATCGCTGTGAAAAAATGGCTTTCTTTGAAAAGCTCAATTCTTCGGTAAAATTTTCTGTTCGACAGCATAAGACGAAGCAAATATCGATATTGGACACTTCGTTCGTTCGAAATGCGAAAAGAGATTTTCCAAGATGGCTGCCAGCACTGGATTTGTAGCTTAATTTATAATTCAATAAATTTAAAGAAATGGAATAAGTTCTTTAGCATGTGATGTTTGTTTTTCAAAAAAATGCGTTAAATGAGATACTCACATCTTACATTAAGGTTGTTCATTTAAATTCTTTCAATCTTTTTCACCGTTTTGATAAATTTATACAATAAGGAAAATCTTTATATGCACATACTGGTTATGTTTCATTCATTCTACTAGATTGCACGCATCCTGTTAAACAATTTATAGTTTACTACAACTAAGAGAACCATGTTACAAATATATGAATACTATACAATTTGTAATTGGAGTATTCACTTTTAAAAGTATAAAGTGGTGTTTAAATATTACAATAAATTTGCATTTTAACGCATATTATTATAATGAATCACTGTCGTACATTGAAAACACGAATACACAATGCAACATAAAACCTATAATACTTTACAGTGGTTTTAGCTTTACAGGATTAGATAATAATTTATCTTCACTATATGAATCGTATAATTTCCCTAGGTGTCCAATTAAATGATTGGATTATATTTAGACGAAATAACATATTTTAGATTAATATCTTTTTCCCGTTCAGTGACTTCTCAATGCAACTATAAACATTATTAGATCACTATTATGAAAATATCATAAAAATAAACCATTATGTTATCTTTTGGTGGAAAAATATGTTAGTGTCATGAAATAACTATGTGTTCATATATCTTAAAACATTAGTTTTACAAAAATTTAGAATGCAATTATAAATATGTATATATGAAGATATCTATGACAATTTAAAAACATGGCTACCATGTGAATAATAAATTAGTCGTATTACACTTTATAAACAAGACTTTGTTTAGTTTTTACGATAATTTTGTTTTGTGGTACCAGAGAAACTCGTTAGTCATAAAAAGCACGTAGCTTCGATGAAACTTATAAAGTGTTGGCGCGGATTTCCCAAGTGAAATATTAGTGTTTTTAATAGTTATGGCTACATTTTTATTATCTATTAAATGACCTAACGGATTCCTGAAGAATATAAATTCATCTGTGCTTTAATATTTTGCATGATTTTATGGCAATAAACTACCTGAATGAGTGTTAAATAATGGTAACATTACTTTTTAATCTGGAGAAAGTTCGAATACTTTATAAGGAAAAGATATAATTTATAACTATGTATTAGTTTTATTCAATCAAAAAAAGAAAATGATAATAGTCAATTATATGATTGTAAATTGTTGCATGTAATTAAAAATCAGTATATTTGTACATTTTGTATGTGTATATAACTTAACCTATTTTCTAGATACATATTTAAAATTAAGCATATCAACAAGTATATAGCTATACACGCACGATTTAAGAATATCATTATTAAAGTCTGTTAATGCACTGAAAAGAATTATACTTTGTATAATTTAAATGATTCTTGTAATAGTCCATCCTTGAATAAAACAATTCTTTAGAAAGGTAATAAATTTGACTAAACAAATTGAAGTATTAGGAATGTTTTTATATAAATATTTCGTTGTACTTTTTAAATGCATTATTAATTGTATATTATTATTGTTGCAGATTATAATGTTAAAACATTGAATGAAACAACTTGTATAATAAAGATTTTATGTATAATATTGTGCTACATTATTTATAAACTGACATCAATGGATTCCATTGATTTTGATACAATTATACGACATCCAAGAACTATAATTCATATAGATGTTGATTGCTTTTATGCCCAAGTGGAGATGCTGAGGCATCCAGAATTAGAAGGCAAACCATTGGGAGTAAAACAAAAAAATATAGTGGTAACAAGCAACTATTTGGCAAGAGAATATGGAATTAAAAAATGCATGCCCGTTCAGGAAGCTTTACAATTATGTCCAGGTCTGGCTCTGGTAAATGGAGAAGATCTAACAAACTATCGTCACTTTTCTGCCAAAATATTAGATATATTACATCAGTTTACTCCTTTAGTAGAACGATTAGGCTTTGATGATAATTTTATGGATGTTACATCTCTTGTGCAGAAATGTATGAATTCTGGAAATGATTCTGAATCGAATATAAACATTTCTATGGAGGATCAGAATCCAGTTGGCGAAGTATTTGGCACATCAGAAGAAGAATGTCCATGTGGTTGCCATACTCGTTTGATTATTGCTTCCAAGATAGCAGCAGAAATAAGAAAACGGATTTACAAGGAATTGCACGTCACATGTAGTGCTGGAGTAGCACACAATAAGCTTCTTGCGAAATTAGTTGGATCATTACATAAGCCAAATCAACAAACGCTAATCTTTCCATGCAGTGGACCAATGATGTTATCTACAATGGGATCTGTATCGAAAATACCAGGTGTTGGTCAGAAGACTACACAGCTACTAATGTCAAACAACATTAAAACAGTGGAAGATTTGCGTAAAACATCTCTGGAATCTTTAGAGATCAAAATTGGGATTGACTTAGCTAGAAAATTGAAAGATAACGCTGAAGGTATTGATGAAACTATTGTAAAGCCAACTGGGAAGAAGCAATCTATAGGCTTAGAGGATGGTTTTAAAAGCGTTTCTTTGGTAGCTGAAGTAGAATCAAGGTTTGGAGCACTTTTAAGAAGATTGACAGAGTTAGCCATGGAGGATGGAAGAATTCCCATTGCTATGAGAATAACAGTAAGGAAGCATGATTTCAATAAACCAGCTTCAGGTAAACGAGAAACTCGACAATGTGCTCTACCAAAACATTTGTTGCCTTCCACAAAATCTGGTGTCTATGATCATGCTAAAATGCTGACACTAGCAATGAAACTTTTTCACCGTACTGTTGATGTCTCTAAACCATTCCATTTAACTCTTTTGGGAGTTGCTTTTACAAAGTTCGAAGAAAGATCTTCTGGAAAAAATAGTATTACGTCTTTCTTACGAAAACAAGTTGCTGTCCAATCTGTTTTGGACATTAGTTCTGAAGAAGGTATTTCTGATGTCAGTCTTGGATCGCCAATGAGTGTAAACCAAGACAGCAATGATGGTTCTGCAATGAGTACCACCTCATCTCCTATTTCTAAGACAGTAGGAGCTGCCAGTCAGTGTGCAGATGATGATCTATTAAGTGAAATAGAGCCTCTACCGAAGAAGACTAGATTAGAAGTATGGTTGAGTGGACGCAGAGAATCTCCGAGCAACGAAATGGCGGATCTAAGACTCAGTCCTTCGTCACCTATGCAATTGTCCCCTAAAATTGATGCAGCGGTTCTTAAGTCTTTACCTATTGACATACAAAGAGAAGTCACACGTTCATGGCCAACGACTAGTAAACCAAAACCGAATAATATATTGAAATATTTCATAGCTAATAAGTGACGGAGTTCTATGGCCTAGATTACAAACCAGCCATCTTTCTGTACACATTTCTGCAGTTACAATATTAGATGGCAGCACCATGTGATATTATGACTTTAAGTTACAGACGTCGTAAATTAATTTGCAATCCTTTGGGTATTAAACATCTATATGCATATATTTTCTACGGCATTTACATCAAATGAATTTGTTAATACATATAAATCTCTATAAGAGTCTATGAATAAATTCGCATAAATACATATTTTTTATTTATTTATCTTGACTAATCCGAGCATTGTTAATGTTTCAATTGCTTAGAGTAGACGAATGTTTGGTTAAACTTGCATTTAAAATGTGTATTATTTGTGAAAGTATTTTGGACGTTCTCAAATGTTTCATAAACGTAAAAGAATACAAAGAAAACATGAAGCTGGTCAACGAAAAGTATTGTCAAGAATTGTATAAATTTCAATTTTATGTTTCGTAATATACGAAAAACATACGTTTAGCACGTGATCTAAAACGTTCACTTAACTGAGAATTATAAATGCATATACATCGCAAGCGAAAAATGTTCCGAGTAAAACTGTACTTTCGCGATCATTTCCATTCACATTAAAAAATCATTCTATAGTATTTTCATTTACGTTCGAACGGTATAGAAGATTTTAAGGCACACGTGACCATTGTTGAAAGGAAAACTCTGTCGTTTTTTAATGGGGTGCTGGCATTTGATTTTGTACGTACATTCTGCGGCTAAACTGTAATTGTATTGATTTAATGTTTAAACGAAAAAAAAAGAGAAGAAAGAAGTGTTTATATTTTTAGTACTGTCGATGTTATGCTATGCGTGTAACGGGTGTTACGGGAAAATACACTGAAACGAAAATACTCGTTCGACTCTACCGTGCAACTGATGTGGAACTCCATACGAATTATAAAGGATAGTTTCTATATATTATATAGTTATCCAGAATATTAGACAATCACAAAACATTATCGGTTCGATACGGTACAAGGTGAATAATTTTAATATATAATATATATACATATATATGTATCCGTTAAGCATACACAAGATAAGAAATGAGCCAACGATCCACGCGATTTTGAAATTATTCTGTCACACACATACACACACATGTACACACACATTCACGTACGTCGCGCGTTTTCTTTCACACGATTACTTAAAAAAAAGAAAAAGAAATAATAATATTAGTGATAAAAAACAACAAACGTGCATTAGAGCGTGGCCAACGGCAAGTGATACTGAAACAGTAGCTTTTGTAAACAATAAAAAAAAAATACTTATATGAGGGTACGGAAGATTTATACGTTAAATGTTAGTTAATGACCGATGCGGATCGAATGAGCGAAGATAAGAGATTAATTATGAGCGCGTTTTCTTTTTTTTTGTTTCCTTCGCCCTTTCTTTCTATGTTTATTTATTTACTGTACTGCATAGGAGGAGCGGTAACTATCCTGACTATTAACTTCTGGTTGTGAGAACATGAATATTTTATACGTACACACGGCATCGGGGAGTATGAGCAGTTGCGAAACTCGTAAGCTTGTCATCGTCCAAGTTTCTGATTAATTAGAATAACACGCAGTAGTTCGCATTTCTTCAGATAATTGTGTTGATATTTCGCGCGTGAACCAACAGAGGGAAAGAACATGCAACGAAATTGACTTTGACTTTGTACAAGTAACGCGCCATCGCCGGTTCATATTGCCTCTGATTCATTTAAATAAAGAAAGTTCAAGTTGTACGGTCCGTGTTATTTTCTTATCCTGTCCACCGATGCTCGTCTCCCTCTCTCGCTCCTTTCAGGAAAGAAGTACCACCGCTTCAAGTTCTATTCGATTGATATTCTTAATTAAACAACATGAAAAGTTTTGTCTAAAAGAGAAACATTGGGTCTAACATATCGCAAAGATTTGTACATTAAAAATTGTATAATTATGTTTTGATATATACAGCAAATTAATTAAGTTCCTATCTTCCACTCAAAAGAATTTATGCCCCTTTATGTTCGACACGATGCACGAATAAATTGTCCCAGCCGAATGTTAACAGCGATATTTAAGAGCAATATCAGAAAGCGCCAGTGCGTTCAAGTATGACGCCAGAATTAGACCCTTGCCACTGCTATACAATTTGAATGAGGCCAATCACCCAGCCACCGTCTCTGAATGGGACATAATCAGGGTGAGTCATGTCATAATGGAATAAATTGTGTAGCTTTGTGTCTTTTTAAATTGTCCTGCGCTCTCGTTTAATGAGACCCCTCCCGAATAATCTCATTCGAGTCATTGATTCGACGCGAAACGGGTAGATCAAACAATCATTTATATATTTTTAAACCCAGGCGCCTAACATTCTTTGAAAGTCATGATTTCAGAATGTTTCAATATTCTTCGATATTTTTCAATGTGATCTCGTTAGAGACGCATTAGCATTACGACGATAGTCAAGTACAAGCGCGTAAATTGTTAGTCTAGTATCGTTTTTCTCTTAAACGATAAGAGTACATGTCGGTCACGGTTTTTCTTAGGTCCTATCATGGCGCACGTGAGATACATAAGAACAAGGTTTTTTGTGGGGTAATATCTGACCCAAATTTAAATAGTGTCCAGGTGTATGTTTAATTCCCATGAGCATTAAGAAGGTACTAGGTATAAATACCCTTCGAATGTCTCGAGGATGTCAGATTAATACTTCACTCGTGAACGTTACTACTACGAACAATCAGGTGTCCAACCATGTTTTGGTCCATCTACATTTTCGCCATTGTCGCAGTGTTTGAAGCACACGGTAATTATTTCATCCTGTATTTATTTTAATCACTGATTAATCATTGTTATTAAATAATATATTATATCATTGAAACTTGGCAAATACAGCGGCAACTATAAATGAAATTACAAAAATCGTCGGTGGTTCAGCTGCTGAAGAGGGACAGTACCCTTATCAAGCTTCCCTCCGTTATAAAAGTCGCCATTTTTGCGGTGGATCCGTGTTGAACAAGCGATGGATATTGACAGCAGCTCACTGCTTAACAAGGTTGATGCAGCAATTATATCCATTAAATATAGCTCTCCGTATTTTGTCTTCCTTCATGATTACAATGGTATTCTTTTAGCTTCAATAATACTGGAATAACCGTTGCTCTTGGTACCAACACTTTGGACAAGGGCGGTGACATGTATCAGTCCGAAAAAGTAATTGTTCACCCAAGATACAGTTCTGCGTTGATCAGAAACGATATTGGATTGATTAGAATGTCCAAGGATATCGTTTTCGGAGACAAAGTGCAACCCATTTCATTACCGAATGAAAACTTCAGTAAAATTGATTACCCGGCTATATTATCTGGTTGGGGAACCACCAGCGTAAGTGTTTCACAATGTTCGTATCAAATAACTTTTATATATGTGTTCTTATACCTATTTAAATTGCATTTTTTTTCTCATTTCATATAAATAAACATAACAACGTAATAACGGGCATAACAACGTATACGTGTACCATGACTTTAATCATGTTAAGTACCCAGGAGAGTCCCCGAATGAACTGCAACACATCGAGTTGAGCGTGATTGATCAAAAACAATGTTTAAATGCTAGCTTTCGTATCACCAACGACAATATCTGCACACTTAACAAGAAGGGTGAAGGCGCTTGTCACGTAAGTGCATTCAGGTCTAGTTGAGCACTCGAGAAGAGGGCCCTTTCACGTCAAAGGGACCCTCGGCTAAAGCGGCACCTCTTTTTCCTTATTTGTAGTCCGAGGAAATCGTGCCGGTGACTGAGTAACAATGAACGCCATTTAGTTTCATTTATTCTAGATCGAAAAAATTGTTCTACGTGCGTGTGCCGTGTACTTCCGTTTTCTTATTTGATTAAATTAAAAGATAGTTCAATTCGTGAAGTTGAGAAGCGAGACTTGAACATCAGAATTCGATTGTTTACCACTAAAACCAGCGATCAGTCGAATTGACTTTCTCAAATTTTTCTATAATAATTCTAAGCGTGCAGCTATTGAGATTTCAATTGATGATTCAGTTTGTGTATTACGAAATCAATTTCTTTAATAATTTCTCAGAGAAACGTTTATTATCTTTTTTAACAATTGAGAAAAAATAATTCAGAAATGGGTCAATTAAACATAAGTTTAATTATTGAAATAAAACTTTACTGGACGTATCATAACCGTAGGACAGAATTTAAAGTGATTATTGCATTCTTCAAAAATGCATTAAATATTTTATCTAACTGTTATTGCAATGTTTGAATAGGGTGATTCTGGTGGTCCTTTGGTTGCCGACCATCAACAAATCGGTGTCGTATCCTGGGGAATACCGTGCGCCAGAGGACGTCCAGATGTATTCACTCGTGTCTATAGTTACAATCAGTGGATAAAGAAATATATTGAGGATGGCAATTAAACGAGAACCGTGTATTTCGTACCTTGCTAAATAAACACTGCTTCATGAATTTGATTTTTATTTGAAAACTCCTCGATAACTCCGTTGAAAGTATGTTAGCACTACTTACGACATTTATAAACTAGCGAAACATAAAAATGAGAAAAGTACCGAAATAGCTATTAAAATGAAACCGTGCGTTACACGGAAGACTAAACAAACGTGCCTGAATTTGACACCCAATGTTAGTGTATCGTTCCATGAATACTTACTACATGGCCTCGTAATTTTAATGAAATAAATATACAATTCCCGTTTACCAAACATAACATTACAATCTGTTGTAACATCCAATCCATGCGTGTTTAGTTGCATACGTAACAAAGCAACCTACGCTTGTGTAAACGCGCTTTAAGGTGACACCAATTTTACGTCTCATATTCACGAATTAATGTCGCATACGACTAATGCGCTAAATTAGATAGAATATTCAGGTGGTGTGTAACATTAACCGAAGAAAAACAAAGTAGCTTGAATTACGAGCGTTACTACAATTGCATAGCATAAGTACACATAGCGTTCTATTATATGAAGAACACTGTGTTGTGAAATATTAATTTTATGTTTTCAATATTATATGTCATATATATACACGTAACAATTTAGACAATTACAAATTTATTTTTTTCAAAATATTACTCCAGGATAGACAGTGTGTCGCATTATTAAATAAAAACTTATCAAATTAAACCCCCACAGAATACTTGTCAATCAAGTTGAAAAAATTGCATTATTATAATTTATATTTACAGAATTTCAATACCAATATGTAAATGTACCCATGACGGTACACAATCAGGCAACGCTGACATCTTTAAAAAATCTTCAATCGCAGTTTTGGTCAAGTAGCGGGTGACCTGAATTTAATGGCGCATGCCCGGTCACATGCATCGAAAATCATTTCGAGTGTGTAAAGGACACAACTCCTAGTAATGCATCCTGGGACAAAAGTCTGGGAACTTTAAACAAACGCAAAAATGAGTTAAACAAAAAAACCATTTCAAATCTTAAAAACGTAAATTGAAAAAATTTTAGTGACGTGATTGGTTAAGAGGAAAGATGGTTATTTACGATTCAAATCTAGCTAAGATTACGAAACGTACGCAAACCCTCCTGACTGCACCACTGGCAGCACTTATTCAAAGATTGCCAACAACGGGGCCAAGGATGCGCGTCGCTACCCCGACCTCGTCAACGTTTGAAAGCCTCGTCTATTTGACGATCAATCGACGATATTCAAATCGCTTGAAAAACTTCAGCAGTAAACCATACAAACGATTTAATTTAATTCCAAAATTCGAACCGGAGTCGAATTCGATTTTGATCGTATACAACAGAAGAAAGAGACTACAGATGCATGCGACCACTATTCATCTGTCAAGTAACGCATGACCTAGTTCGCGACGCGCATGTCTGCACGGGCAAGGACAGTTTCGAGGGTGTGTTTTCATCCCCTGTTTCTGGTGTGTCGCGAATTTCTCACTGGTGCAGGCTGTCCGCGTCATTTTGCGAGAAAAATAGTGTGTCGTGAAAGATAAGGACCGGTGGCCGTGCCACCTGCTGGAGCTTAACGCACATCGTCTGAAATCGATATCGTCATCCTTGTCTCTCTCCCTCACCTTCGACGCAGTGTCACTCTAGCAGCATACGGGTGAAATACGAGCGCAATGGAAACTGTACACGGGGGATTGTATTCAGAGTGGTAGATCTTTCTGTGCGTCCCAGTGCAGGGAAAATAGCAAACGATTAACTTGTCATTGTTTTTCTTTTCTCTCGGGTTTTTAACCTGGGATCACGACGATCGTATGGTTCTACGTTCGGGCGTTATTGAAGGGAACTATACGACGACCCCAACCTGGAACTTTGTTCCACCGCGAACGAAGTTTCGTGCGCGTAGGATACTCACCAAAAACGCGACGCTCATCGGTCGTAACATTGACAGCGATTGAAACGCTGATAAACAACACCATGTAATCGATATCAGTACAATCTTAACGCGATACTGTACAGTTTTGGTCCGTGACATGCATCAGGGTTGCGTATGTGTTCGTTGGGTCTGTTGTTTACATTCGCGAATCGTGAGGACGGTCATCACGAAATACACCTGTTTATGTTCTTGCGCGCAGCTTTACGCCCCTACGCGTCTGCGAAGTGTTTACAATAATTAAGGGAGATACACATGTTTTGCTATGCGTTATATTTCGGGCTAGTGGAAAAAATAGGATACGCGGTGTTCGAAATTGACTGATTGAAAGATGCTACTGTAAACAGTGGTCACGGCTGTTATTTTTGTGGAAACTGTCGCATTCAACCTGCCGCATCATGGTGCTTTGTTAGTGTGCATATCACGCCCCGTTAAGATCCTTGTGACGCCATAAATAATATATCGCGCTAATACATTGCCCGTATAAAAATAAGTTATCGCCTGAATTTATCAAAGGAACCTTCATGAGCTGCTGTCCATTCATGTAAGTATGTGACAAGCTTTCCTAAGAGACGCCTACCATACCACACACATATATGTACACACGATGTAACGCTTACGCAGTTTACACAGCGATACGTGACTCGCATTTTAGGGGTTGATAAAAGTGCTGATAAAAATATGTATTTATGCGACCATTGTATACGCAGCATAATCATGCAGCAATATTTCATTTCATTTCTTCCAAGTTATTCTTTTGAAAAATACTAACTAATTTTTGCTGCTCAGAACCTCAGACATTATTTTTCTTCTTAATTATCTTACTTATATTTTACTTCGATACTTGATGTTTATTTCTATCAAATATTTCTCTAAGAATTGTTAAGTTATTACGATTAAACTTAAATTCAGTTAAACAAATCTTTCTTTGTACAAAAATGTAAAGAATAAACATCTTATATTTCTATCGGTTAAAATAGGGTTAACCATTTTTAACGAAATATTAGATTTATACTTGATTATAAATATACCGGAAAACCAAGTATCCGACAAAAGAACAGATTCTCCAAACTGTAAGGTGTTGCATACAGATGGGAGAGGTTGATGAAAACATGAAATTCGTGACTATGGGAAATATACAGCTGTCCGAAGGGCCGGCTGTGGCAAGTGCATGCAAGTAAGCAAAGCGTACACATATCAGGCGCTACACCTTTTAACGGGCGACTGCGCAGTAGACAATTCAGCCGTCTATATGGCAGTATACCTCGCGCAAGCATACCAGGCATTTCTCCGTCTTCTTTGTACCGTCGTTGATGTTGTGCGTCTCCTTACCCTTCGGCAGACCCTTGTATTCCTCTTTCTTTATCACTGCTTACTCTAGTATGCTTCCTCTCACTCTCGTGGTAAACGCTTGACGGTGCGCCAATACTCAGGGACGTATGATCCGCCGCTGTACCAAACTTGCTTGTTTCACGTGCGGTATTAGCGGTTTTAAAATAATTTTTATTGTGATCCACTACAGAAAACGCATTTTGTATCGTGACCAATTATACCTGTGATAAATTAAACTAATCCAATGTCACATATTTTACCCTTTAGATAAGCCTTTACAAGCATCATAAGATATATTCCAAACATTTTTGTGCATTTTCCCTGCATCGTAATACATTTTACTTATTTCGCCAACTACGAGGTCACGTTTTGAAAAAATTCTGCAGCGAATAATGCAACATTTTCAAGTATTGGCACGTAATTTCACGGTGTTGTATTAATATTAATATGACACCGTTCCATCCAAATAAGAACGCAATAAAACCTTATACGCAGAAAATGACGCATATGATATTTGCGTTATCTATGCACGATACTCCTTGTAAAAATGCGCTTATCGCCCAGGCCAAATTATAAATACCATAAATCATTTTTGCCGCGACGCGTCATTCGAAATTGTAGTTTCGAGCAACGTGTCATGAGAGAAACGCGTTTCCAGTGAATGGGTTCGCAGAAATAGTCGGAGCGAAGAAAGAAATGCATCATGGTGAACCGTAGCCGCGGGCACCCGCATAGTACACTTATCATTTCTTCCCTGGTAGTGGTGCCGGCTGCGGATGCAGGCGAGAGAACGTGCGCAGCTGTAAAACGTGAGTCGCTGCGCTCCGCAGCTGATGCGACCCGCCGTGATCCGTGGGTCTGTGTTTTGTTTGGAAAAATGCGACAGAGGCACGAGGAATTTCGACGGTGTCATTGCTGCCGTATCATGCGGTTGGATACGGACGAAAATCGGCGAATACACCGCGAGTGATAGTGACGCTTGGACCACGATAGACACCTTCGGAAATGACACCCGAGATTCCCAAAGACAAACAGTCTCGAAAGTGAAATGGAGACAGTCCTCGACCATTGATAAGCTTGTTTTCCTTTTTGTGCTCAGTTTGTAACGTAATGCGAAAATTATGGTAGCCGGGCAGTATGAAGCTCACGGGATTGTCCTAGCGACCGTTTCCGCGCCGAAGACAATAAATATCAAGGAAGAAAGATAGACAAAGAGTTTCCGTCGGCATATGCTTTGTGTGTAGTGGCTTCTGTACATTGAAAAATATTCAAAGTGCCGCGGTTCATGGGAAAGCATCTCGGGTGAACGTAGGGTTTCCTTTGGTACCGATGTGGCCGATGCCGATTTTCAAGAACGAAAAATGTATCGGGTAGTTTCGTGCGGGAATATCGCGGATGTAAAAAAAGAATTGTATATAGAAAGTTCCTGGTTTCTATAGTGCGTGAGAATTTTAGTGTTTTGATTGTTGCACGCGATATAAATCGACGTGTGTTTTACTGGTACGGTATCATAACATTAGGAAATGCAATTTAGGGGGAAGTTGTCCGACGAACTCGTTAGTGTATCTGCCAGCGTATTCCGTGATGAAAATTTATGCAAAAGAAGCGAGGTATGTTCCACGCTTATGTAGATACCTCGATAAAACGTGTGCGATGTAACGGATGTATACATTTCTGAAAACGACAACAGGGGTAAATCCATTATGGAGGCACTGCGTTTGGCTATACAGTGAGTTTATTAATTCATAAATATTGTTGCGAACACCTATGCTTCATGACGCATATATTATTAGGATTTATTGTTAGGGTAGCTCGTTTGTCACGTTCGCGGAATGCCCGTAGCCGACTGTCGGAATCCGTCCATTCCTTTGCGGTTCAGCTTAATGTTTATTCTTCTAGAGCCGTGAGAGATATAATATAATGTTATCGTACCGATTAAATGATAATGAAGTAAATTATTGTACGAGCAAGCTTATTCCAATTACTGTTCTCGTTTTTCAATGTTGCAAAATTAAATTATAATTAGTTTCTGTAAGTTTTAATTCATCTTCCTCTATTTATAAAACACTGTGTATTGATGAATAAATGTATCACCGTTTCCTTAAAAATGTTATTAATTTATTGTCATGTTAATATTGCATGTGAGAGGAATCACACTTAAATTTAAGAGATATGTATAAATTTATATTTAAACTGTATTTTGAAAATAAGAATTTCACATCGTATTTTTATTTCATTGAAAATTTGTTGTTAAATATATTACAGGTATAACAGCATTTTACTTTGATTTTTTTAGGACACGGCTAGGGGAGAGGATGGTCAGCATGAGCTCAATGCTCGTGGAGACAGTTAGTATAAACTATGAAGATTTTAATGAAAGCTTTTTAACATGTGGTACTTGCCTTTGTGTTTATGATGGTGAAGAACACACCCCTAAGTTACTACCATGTTCACACACAGTGAGTAGTGGAATGATTATTTTCTACATGAAAATAAAAACTATGTATTTAATTGTTAAATGTATGAAATTAATTTAATTATTCGCACAGGTATGTTTACATTGTTTAACAAGAATCGCTGCTTCTCAAACTCGCGAAACTGGTGCCTTTCGATGTCCTATATGCAGAGAGTTAATAACAATACCTCGCGGTGGAGTTTCTGCTTTGCCTCCCAGTTTTCTTGTGAATCAACTTCTTGATCTTATGTCCAGACAGAGACGAGAGGTTTGATCTGATGCTTTTTGTAGACATTTTCTATATATTATCAAACATAATATTCCAAATTTTTTTATCATTGCAGGTTATTCCAAAATGTTCAGTTCATATAAACCAAGAACTATTATTCTGTGAAACATGTGATACGGTCTTTTGTACAGTATGTACAGGTGGCAATCATGCAGGAACATCACCAGGATGTACGGAGCATACTATCATACCTTTCAGCATTGCAATAAAAAGAATGTCTGAAATTTTGCTGTACAAAGCCAATGAATGCATATCCAAGGTAATAATCTATCATATTTATACGAAACTTGAGTTTCTTCACAAGTATGTACTTGTTTTCAGCTAACACAGGCTCAAGATTCTGTAAGTACAGAGTTACAACGTTTGGAAGCTTCTACAGAAAGGTGTTTGAATGCTGTGGACAATGAATTTGCAGAAATTATTGCAAAATTTGAAAGGAGACGTTCAGAATTACAAACAGCAGTAACTGCTGCTGCAAGAGATAAGAAACATGTATTAGAAGAACAACATGCTCTTATAGAAGCTGAAAAAAATAAAGTGCAACGAGAATGTGAAGGCTTACAATATCAAGTATGATATCATTTATATAATTTTGACACAATTTGTTTATCCATTCATTTTCATATAAATAATTTGATGCTATATTTTATTTTCTGTAAAGGTCGAAGTACGAAATATCACACAAAGGATTGGTAGTTTATCTGATCAACTTGATACTGCATCAGCACTTAGCGAACCTAAAGAAAATGCCTTTATTACATTTGAATTTAATCACAATAATGCTGTTTCCCAATTAGAGGAAGCTCTTAATAACTTGGGAAGAGTACGTTCTAGTACAACATTGCCAGGTACCCTGAGGATTGATAATACAGTAAAGTACCTGCTTTAAAATTGTTATTAATCATTAAAACAAATGTTACTGCTTTATATTCGTTAACATTATGGATATAATGAGAATGACATTTAATGTAATTTACTTACATTTTATAATAGGTCTGTGCAGAGCCAGGTTGAAAGATCCTGCTATAGTTAAGTTACAAGCAACTGTCATAGTAGAAACTGTTGATTACCATGGGCATCCTAGAAACGTTGGAGGAGATCTTATCACTGCAGAATTAACTATTGCAGATAGTATCCACTTAGAAAACCAAAGTTCCAGTATTGATACTGAAATTGTAGATTTAGAGAATGGTATATACGAAGTACTGTTTAGACCACCAGCTCCGAGTCGCTACGTCTTAAAATTATCAGTTTTCGAGCGGCCTATTAAAGATTATCCTTTATTTTTTGATGCGACTGTACATAACGAACCCATTAAAGTGTATGGAGGACGAGGAAGTGGAAAAGATGAATTTCATCAACCAGTTGCAGTTGCTGTTGATGATGATGGCATGATATACGTTTTAGACACTGGGAACTCCCGTGTAAAGGTATAATTTACTATTACAGTTATAATTTTTTATAAATTTTACATCATTACAAAATTTCAATTTTGTTATAAATAATATTGTATTCTTAGGTACTCAATTGTGATTTAGAATTTCAAAGGCATTTAACTAATGAAGGTTTAGAAGGTCGTAGTTGTACAGGAATAAGTGTATCTCAACAAGGTATTGTTGTTGTTAATTGGAGAACGCGAAAAATTACAGAAATGAGCTCCTTAGGTGATACGATCAAATCTTTCTCTCATTACGCATTCCGAGTTAGTACTTTTTATTCTAATATTTGTGTAATTTAATGTTATTTTTGTTATTTGTTAATCACATTAATCACTTTTCTGTGTAGGAACCAATTGATGTGGCAGTAGACAAAAGTTATGGACATATACTTGTGGCCGATAATGGTGAAAATTGTGTTTTTGTGTTCGATTCTGACGGCAAATTACTTTTCCAGGTTGGACACTAATTACTGTCATTGTTGTTTTGTGCATCATTAATCATTCAAAAATTATGTTAATGCTTATTAGGTTGGAAAGAAATTAACATTCAAATTAATTAGAGCCGTTACCGTTGGACGTAATGGTGAAATTGTAGTTGCCGATGACCACATTTTAGTATTTAACGCTAAAGGAGATTTTTCTGAAGAAATATACTCAGAAGGCAAAGGTAAACTTTTCTGTTATATACAAAGTATGTAGTTGTGTGTGCATATGTGAATACCAAGTATACCAAGTATGCAAGCATGTATTTATACATGTTCTAGGAAAAGGCGCTTATGGAGGTTTAGCTGTTGATGCAGATGGTAGAATACTTGGTACACGTACTGATAAGGGACGCAGTATAATCCAAGTATTAAAATTAGGTGGAGGTAATGTTTTGACTGAGATTGACTCACATAGTTCAAAATTACGACGTCCTTCAGGTATTGCAGTGCTACCTGACAATCACTTAGTAGTTGTAGACCTGGGAAATGACTGTATAAAAAAATATAGATATTGGTAAAAGCAGTTGATGTAGCTTAAATTACTTGCTTTCATAAAACTTTTGTTGTAATCCCGCGCATAATTTTAACTGTGTCTATGTTTATATGAATTTTTTATATGCAATTTTTACGAATTACGTGCTTAGATCAATCAAAACAATTTTATCGGTGTAGAAAAATATCGATCATATTTGACATTTATAAGTGCAACATATACGTAGATACGTATGTGTCATACTTATACAAAATTATGTAAGTTTATTTATGTGCTAGACTTAGCGACATATGTCGCGCTCCTAAAGTGGAAGAGACTTGATTAGTATAATGTAATTTATAGTATTTTGTGTCATTGTTCGTTAATTTAATTTATTTACTTAAAACCAGTAAAAGTGATTCTTTCTTAATTTTGTACTACTTATCGTAATTATTGTCTGAATGTACTGTAATACACGTTTTGCATTGCCATAGTCTAATGTTTTAAAGTCACAACAGTTATCCTAAGATTCTACATACATATCTCATAAATAAAAGATGAAAATTTATATAAGAAATTTATTTTACAATCAGAACTTCATTGAAATATTAGGTCACAGAATTTGAAGTTTCAAAATCTAAGTAAGATGTCATAAATATTGTTGTCAACAAATTTTTAGTATCTCTGTATTCAATTTCTATCGATGTAATAGATTATATTTTATGCTTATAAATATTATTATTTTTCAATAAAAACAGTAAAAGACTAGTTTCATAATTACAAAGACTTAATAAAATTTCGTAATTATTTTTCGTCATATAAACAAATATTGTGTGTAAAACGAATACTTTAAATATAAATTATAATATTAAATGATGTTATAAAAGCGATACTTAATATTTTTTTTCTCAAAAAAGGCATGGAGAAATATATGTTAAAAAACATGATTTACTATACTACCAAAGGAATATATTGAAAACGTTTTGTGTTCTTATGTACAGTCTTTTGTTTTTCTATTGACAAATGTGCTTAGTTAACATATCATATTTTTACGTTTTATATCTTTTTATGGTATTCTAATACGTTTCAATGGTAAAATGCAAAGAATTTAATTTGTGCAAATTAAAATGATAAAAATAATACTCTTGTACTTATTTTATACCTAGAATTATTTGAAAATGCTTTATATGAAGATCAAAAACGTATTAAAAAGTTTAACTTGAATATCTTCCTTGCATCAGTTTTATTCGTTTACAATTAAAATTTATATTTTAATTATCATAAACATCACATTTTATCATAAAACTTATAATTATTATTGGTTATCATACAAAGCATTTTGTATTTCCATTACATATTCATTACAATCGTCAGTTAGATTTTCATTTATGAATGCAAAAAATAACTAGTGTATTGTAAATAGATAAGAAAATCAGAAATGAATTGAAGTTTGTGCTACTATTCATCATGTATTATTAAAGATTGATATTGCATATATTTTGTTTGTATAAATGGCTTTTATTTTTTGTATAACATATTTATATGAATAGCATATAGTAAGTACATATGTGTACATATATATATTTGTTTTATGTATAAATTATTACTGTATTGTAAACAGAAATTTATACACACAGAAAATTTAATGTTTGTAGTCATAGTAAATACTTCAATACTTTATATTTTATGTAATATTTTATTTTGTTTGTGCGAGTGACAATTCCAAAACAGAATTTAGATCAATTGATGTGTAGAAATTTACATACTCAATATTCTGGCACTTCCAGTTTACTTGCTAAACCGTTATTTATTGCTATGCATAGAAATGTAGATTCACATGTACACTAATTGTGTTCATTCATATTTTCCACTTATTGAAGTCCTGTTTCTTTACCTGTTTATGATTAAATAATACTATAATTTACATCAATAATTAATGATAGTTTAAGTGGACTGAAATGAAAATTATAGTATGCATATATTAGATATATCAATAAAATATGCTCAGTATTGTGTTCAAATATTTTTAATAAACTATGGTTGACAGATAATGTTTATGAGATTAGAACTACATTATAGTGTGAATTATTGAAGGTAATAATATTAGAACCTAAGTATACCAATAAAAATTTAATAGTTTATTTGGATGAATATATAATATTCCTTGTAAAGTGCTAGTACAGTAATTTGTTATCACTTAAAATTTGATTACACATAGGCACGTACAACTGTGTATGTCATTGTATAAAAATACTACACCTTTCGATTAACGCTTAATGAAAAGGACACCAGTGCCTTTATAAAACAGGATTTCACGTGACTTCTGATTAATAGTGACGAATGATATAACTTGTAAAGTTTACAAATAAAAAATCGATTGTATAGCTTGGTTTGGTTTTATTTTTTTCTGCTTCTAAATTTAAAATAAAATTTTCAAATAATATTAAGGATTCTATATATTTATGTAATATCATTCTTATTGCATTCTATAGTTACTAATGTGCTCAAAAATTTGTACTACTTAATTAACTTCGATATTTCGATTACAATAAAATTAATTATGTTTAAATCTAGTCATGTATTGTCAACATTATGATGTTTGGAGTATTGTAATGTAACCACACGGCGTCATGTAAAATTGTAAATAAATATACGAGCTTAATTCATATAAACGAAGTTTTTTATTTTCAATTATTTAGGGAAGATGGATTTATATGGTTGTTATTGTACATATGTATTTTTCTTTAATAACGAAATCGCATATGAGAAAAATAGTAAATTATATATTTTATGGGAAAGGTAACGCGTAACGAGAGCTCGAAACTAGGAAAAAACGTTTGTTTTGCAATTAAAATGCCCATAAAAATTCAGTGGAGTCAATACTATCGAAATCCAAGCTCGCGCGTAATATTGACTCGATTCGTAGCAATTCAACCGATTGTATGTTCGAGATTTCTCCCAGCGAGAGTATCGAATGAACGTAGCGTGCACGCGCCGTAGCTGAAAAACGTAAGCTCGAATACTACGCCTGTGCTAGTAGATACGTGCCCCCGTACACGAAAGTTATTCACGCACGCTATTCATCGGCTTGTGCTCCTCCATTACGTACATAACGTGAAACGTAAGACGCTACATACTGGCCTGTACGTGTGTCGCGCCAGGTGTATATAAGCATAGTTGCACACGAGCGGTCGGGTACACGTATACCAAAACATACTCTCCTCAGTTAAAACGTGATCCCGTAGAAAACGAAGGGGCCCATAGCAAGAGGCGCGCGATTCTCCGCGAGGAACCAGTGGATCGAACAACGATTACGTTGAACCAAGGTGATCTGTGGAAAACGGAGAATAAACGGGCCGGATAAACAAACGTTTTCGCGTCGGAGGATCGAGGTGATTTGCAAAGGGTGAATTTGAGTGTCACTGCATAAGCGCGGAGAAGAGAGAGAGAATCAAAGGACGAGTGAGTGAGAGGGCAATAGGACGCTAGCTACGGTGCTACGGTGGTAGTGAATGGAACGCGGCCCCCACGGGTGAGCGTAGTACGACGCTCCACGGGCTAGCGTTGCACCAATGACCAGCCGGGACTGGCGATCACGTGACGTGCGTGCCGAGCCAGCAGCAGAACATTGCAAATGACAAGACGCGTAGGGCATTGTCGTCGCGCCGCCGCTGCCACAGTTCTCGTCGTTGTTGGTGAATCCGTCGCGCCGCCGCCGCCGCCGTCGTCGTTGCCACCGTCGTTGATGAGATCTCGCCCGCCGCCGGGAACGCGACCATCCTAAAAACCGTTCCGGAATCTTTGTCTTCGGTGTGTCGGCACTGTCGGTATCGCTACTGTCGGCGCGTGTGCGCGACAAAGTCGCGGGTGCTCGGAGGCCTCGTGCCCTGAACGGTGCCCGCGGCGCCCCGTCCTTAGTACAACATACCCGACACAGTGTACCAAACAACACGCCGACATCTCGAACGGCCCGAGGGTGGCATCTGTCTACATGACAAAATGTCGGGATCACAGCGGATGCGAAAGTCCTCGCCATGCTCGACATCGAAGCAAGGCCCAATGCGCGCGACTCTACCCGTAAGTTCTCTATTACGACAAGGCCGGCAAGGCAGCAGCCTCAGGAAAAGCAACAGCAACAGTCCCACCGTATCACCG